ACTATAGATTTGAGATCAAGCTTACCATTAGGAGAGAGATCATGAACAAAACACTTACATCCAAAGACCCGCATAGGGATAGGAAACAAAGGAGCTTTAGGGAAAAGGAGCTGATGAGGGGACCTATATTCCAATGCTCGAGATGGTGTTCTATTGATGACATAGGCAGCAGTTAGAACAGTATCCACCCAAAATCTTTTAGGAACATTCATCTATAACATTAATCCTAGAGCAACTTCAAGGAGATGTCGATTTTTCCTTTCTGCAACCCCATTTTGTTGTGGGGTTTTGGCACAAGAGCTCCCGTGTTGAGAGCCACAAGAGACAAAGAAATCTGTGAGGTCTCCATGGAAATATTCCTTGGCATTATTTGATTGGAAGATTTGGATCTCGGATTGAAATTGGGTGTAAACCATACACTGAAAGTCTTTCACAATTTTAGGAACTTCCTCCCGTGAATGCATACGGTAAATCCAAGTGTAGCGAGAGAAGTCATCAACAAAAGAAATAAAATAATTGTAACCATTCTCAGTTGGAATATTAATAGGTCCCCACACATCTGAATACACGATTTGAAAAGGAAATTATGATCTTTTATTACGTAAAGGGAAAGAGGTTCTACAATGTTTACTCAGTTGGCACACTTGACATTGGAAGTCACTAACAGACAAAGACTTAAACAACTCTAGAAACAAAAACTTCAAAGACTCAAAAGAAACATGGCCCAAATGATGGTACTACAAAATAATCTGACTCTTATTCGATGGACTCAAAGACTCTGAAACTATAAGATCAACTTTGTTCTCCAACACGTAGAGACCATCCACTATGTTCCCTCTACCAATCGTCCTCTTGGTAGCCAAATCCTAAAAAACACAAGAATGTGGAAGAAAGGTTACTGAGCAATTCAAAGTATGAGTAAGATTACAAATGGATAACAAATTAATAGGTAATTTTGGAACATGTAGGACATTAGATAAGGAGAGGCCAAAGGGAAACGATATAGATCCTTGACCAGCAATGGAGGAGAAGGATCCATTTGCTAGCCTCACTTTATCTCTGCCAGAGAGAAGAGAATATGTTTGAAACAAGGTTGACTTACCAGTCATGTGGTTGGATGCACCGGAATCAATGATCCATGGGGATTCCGGGTTATCAGTAGACACATGGAAAGCTAAGGTAGAATTACCTGAGGAGGCAAAATAAGTAGAAGGTGTGGGTCCAGAATCAGCATTGCGGAGAGCCCTACCATATTGCTCTAGGTGGTCACGGAAGGAATTGATAATATCTTCCTTTGGATCAGAACAAGGGGGGCAGCCCTGAGAAGTACGCTGATGTTCATGAGATGCTAAGTGAGATGAAGTAAGCTTCTTCTGGTATGGCTTCTTGCTTGGTTCTTGCGCTGACTTCTTACCCATTCCTGTGCCCATTTCGGTTTTCCATTCAATTCCCAACAGGTTTCATGGGTGTGCCTAGGTTTTTGACAATGAGTACACCACATTTTTGTCTTTATCATCTGTATTTTTCTGATTTTCCCCTTTTCTCGGTGCCCCGGTGTTACCCCTTACAGCAAGGGCAATGTGGTCTCCCCCTTAGGAGGATTCATGGCAGACTTCCTACTTTCTTCAAACTGAACAAGTGCATAAACCTCTTGGACAGACGGAAGATCCTTGCTGCCCAGAATCTGAACACGAATAGATTCATATACGGGATTCAAACCTAAAAGGAAAGCAAACACCCTTTGTTGTGAAACTAACTTTTTATATGCTTTAGCATCCTTTTCGCTTTCCCACTCAATGTTCTGGTAATAGTCAAGTTCTTTCCAAACTGAAGTGAGGGCAGAATAATATGTTGATAGGTTCCTTTCTCCCTGCTTACATGTCGAAGATTCTGCTTGTAGCTGGTAAATTCTAGCATAATGTCTTTGCTCTGAGTAAGTTGCTTGTGCTTGGTCCCATATTTCTTTTGCTGTCTCGGCCCACATAAAATTCTGTTTGATAGATGGTAGCATGGATGTCAAAAGCCAGGACATAATCATGCAATTTTCTTGGTCCCACTTATCGTATTCTGCAGTACCAGCCCTAGGTTCCTTTATTTTCCCATTAATATATCCTGCCTTACCCCTGGCTGTGATATACAGCCGCATCTCCTTAGACCACGCCAGGTAATTCCTACCATCCAACGGGGTGATAGTCATTGGGAAATTCATGGAGTCATGAACATTACTCATTCCACTGTGATTCATGGTGGTTCCCGAAGTTGCAGACTCTTCAGTGTTCATGTTTTCAGTCTATGCACACCACAAGAGAAGACACAGCTCTCACTCTGATTAAATAACAATCAAAGAACCAACTTCTGCTGCGATACTGGTCACCTGAACACTCTCACAGGTGTAATAGGTCCTCCAAGGCTAATATTAGCCACAAACATCAGTAATCAGCCGCTGTACCAGTCAGCCAAACCAGGTCACTCATGACCTACAGATTTCTTCACAAAGAAAAAAGGGTTTTCTGAATCATCCGACCCACAAAGGGATTAAACCCACCTTATTATCATTCGGTCAAGGCAAAAGAACCTTAACCTGTTTTTGGTATCAGCACCAAGAACCAAAAAAAAAATTTCAATGTGTCCCTGATCAGTCTGAGAGAATTCTGGGTTTTCTAGTAACACAGTAGGGAACAACAGAGAAAGAAAGAACAGCCGACCTTTTAGGAAGATTCAGCCAATCATCAACAACTCCTGGAATTGCTTCAGTCGAGTTTAAGCCCAGAACAGACGAAGGAGATGCAGTCGAACAGTTCTCAGGTCCAGAGCATCAGTGTGCTTCCTTTGTTCTTAGTCCAGAAGTCACAGAACACTCAGCCGATGCAGTTGAGGAGATTTTACAGAGCACCAACCTTCTCTGATACCATGTTTTCAGCAAGAAGAAGAAGAGTAGAAGAGGAAGAAGAAGAAGAAGAAGGAGAAGAGGAAGAATGACGTGAGAGCCAAAAATCATAGTGCTGACGGCACCCAGCAATGTTATTTAAATGTTAGGGCGAACAAGACAAAAATAAAAAAGAAAAAAGACCAAAATGCCCTTCTGCGGCATATATTACATATTTCATCACATCTTAAAGATTAGGAAGCTAAGGAGGCTACCTTATGGAAGTATTACGGTATGATAGCTTTTTGTATTCTAATTTTCCATCTGGCCCAAAAATAACTGATCCCAATTTACACCTTGTTTTGCCAACTCTTCAGCCATCCTGTTTGCTTCTCTTTGAACCTATTTGACATTAATTGTCCTCTCATCTTTAAGCTCTTAAATCTCCTTCATGATGTTCCTATATTGCCATGGAATTAGCTCCTTCTCCATATTGCCATGATGGGATAGTTGTTTTGACATGAAGCCAAGTCAAGTAACAAAAGTAAAGACATGCTTATATCTACATAAAATTCATATTGTATGTGTTAGTTAGGTTGGTTTAAATTTTTATGCTAACTATAGAGTCATAATCCAAGTCTCATAGGAGTTATTTTCAATTCATTTTATTCATGATATAAAATATCAGTCATTTTTAGCTCATTCTCCCAACAATGTATAATATTTTGATCATTTTTAATTTGATTTATTAATGATATTCAATATCTGGTATATCCAATTCAATCCAATCTGTTTGTAGTCCTATCTAGTCTTGTCAGTTGTCATTAATCTATCTTAGAATCCTCATCTCAGTTAAACATTTATTGGACATGTTTCTTGATTGTCCCACACTTTGTTCCATATTTTCCTTATATGCCATTGTCATGCACACTGAGTGTCACCATACACCCCCAGTCTTGTCACTCCTGTTTTAGCTATTTTATCAGTCAAAGAATCATAAATACTCAGAATCTGTAACTATATGCATTTTATGAGACTGGCACACATTACTTGTTTTCTGTTCTGCCTTAACTAGAAGTATATTGCATATGGACCATTAGGACCTGAAATGTTCCTTCCAATTTTTAAAAGCACAGAGAATGATTTTGTTTATTTATTTGTCAACATTTTTCTTAATCCCTAAGGGAGACATGGGGATCTGCTCTATATCACCTTCTCCAATGGGCAGAGTTTGGTCACCCAGGTGACCATGGAGCAACCCAACTGTTGTGCCAAGGCCCACCCTCTCCCTTAAATATTAATCACTAAAATAGCATGGTTATTAGAAAGTGATGCTTTTTTTTACAATTCCCTTGTTCTTGTTTTTCATTGTTATGTCTTTCCGATAATGCATTTAAGGATCTTTTGATGTGGAAAGCTAGAGTAAAAAAGCAGTTTTTTTAAAAAAAAAAGCTAGAGTAAAAAATAGTCATGAGATCGTAATTTATGGAGTAGGGGTCATGATCCTATGCTTCTTTGCTCATCACATGTTATGTTTCTCCTGATACGTTCTTTCTGCATTTTGATGGTTTTTCTCCCCATCAGATTCATGTTAGTTTGCTTGACCTTCATGGATTGCAGAATTGATTTAATGGGTTGGTGTGAGATAAGACAATATCATCTAATGTGACTTTTGATTTTGATGTCTTCTCCTTGCCTAAAAGGCTAGAATAAAGAACAATTATATACTTGTATCTCTTTGGTCCTTTTGCCTGGGCCTGTACATATGCAGGTACACCAAGACTTATCTAGTTCCATTTATTGGATGTTTCCAGAGAGACCACTAATGACCCTTCTAGTTCAGTTTGCCTTGTAGAGGATGACATTCTATTGGAGATTGCATTTTTTCTATGGTTTTTAGCTAAGGGGTTGGTGAAAGTGGTGACGCACATCGATGTTACTTTTGGCAGATAAAAAGTGAAAAATTCTACCCTTGCTAATATAAGAATTCTAGGGGCATAAAGAAATTTGAAGTATGTTAGCTCCAAATTCAGTCTACATGGATCATATGTGCACAAGGACATGCATCTATTCTGGTCTGGTTTGTTGTATCTCTTGATTGACGTGATATTGTTTTTCTGCTCTTGTCCTGTAGAGTTTGCTTGGATCATTAGTAAGGAAATTTAGAGGACCTAGTCGAGGTTATCGAAGTTCCTATTCTCCAGTCAACTTCTGAGCAAGGATTTTTTTTCATGAAAAAAATCACTGGTGAAGTTCATATTGATTTCATAAGATGAACATCCTGCACAAAGCGGGAAAGGAGACGATTAGAGGACCACATTTTCTTAAGGTCTGTCTATCAGCACGCTTGCTCTTTCAGAAAACAGTTGGGAAATTCTTTAAAGGTTTCTGTTATTTGTCAAAAAGGAAAAAAAAAAAAAAAGAAAAATCCTTAGAATGTTAGCTATATCATTCTTTTCTTTCTTTCTTCCTTTGATGGGTGTCAGCACAATGTGCATTTCTATATGAACGGTATCCAATTGACTGTAGTATCTTGTAAAAGCTTAAACGGAATGATAAATTTTGATCTTCACTGGGTAACATTCGTTCTTTACCAGATCCAGATGTGTCGTATTTATGTTTATGTTCGATGGTACACAACTTAGACTCGATTTTGTAGTTCTGCTGCTAATGTGAATCCTCTACATAGTGGACTAACAACTGCCAAGAGTATATGGCGATATTTGGTGCCATAAACATAGACTGCAAAGTGCACATACGACATGCAAGTGATTAGATTTAGAACCCATTTTCATGGAAATACTCTGCTCGTAAGCTACACTCATACACTTTTATAGTCGTATGAAAGCTAAACAAATATAGATATAATGTGTTGAGCAGACAGTTATCTGATAAAGCTAGCCATGGGAGCTGCATGCCTGGATTTTGACCTCTCATGTTTAAACAGACTAAGGCTGCATGTGGCATTCCTTTTAAGGACTTGCTTATCTCTTTTTACATTTTAACAGGAAAAAAGGAGATAAATCCTTAAAATAAGGAATGCTAAATGCAGCATAAACTGAAAGCATAAGCATAAGTTCGGATCTGACCAACATTGGGCCATGGCGCTTTAGCAAGAGGACTCTCCTGTGGCTTGATCATTGATCATTTAAGCTTCCAGCTGAAAGCTGTAATGGGAGATTTGATCTGACTTAATGAAGCAAAAGTGCAAACCAGTAATATATTCCTTAAAACAAACAAATAAATAAATAAACTCTACAGGTCAATACGATTTGCCTGCCAACCAGGGTGGTGGAGCTTCATGGGGTGGTTGGATCCACATATTATGAGGATCTACTCGACCATAACAATTGTCCCCAGGATGGTACCGACCCTGATCCAGGGAGTAGTGCAAACAGCCTTTCATGTAAACTTCGTCGCTAAAATTTGTAATCCTGTGCGAGTATACACAATCTGGCTTAATTCCTGGAACACAAGACGTTGAAATGGAAGCCGACGGGCTGAGAAAAAGTGTCCGATTGTCCAAGCTTTTCACGCTGGTCCACACATTCTTTGATCGATCGAGCTCGAGAATAATGGGTTCGTCAGGATAAAACAGAACCACCATTAGAAGCTTTCCCCTTGACTCAACCAAGTATTGGAAGCTCCAACAATATTTCGGCATGACTTCTTCGGGTAGATCATTTACTGGGGGAGAGATTACCGTCCAAGTATTTAGTTTTGGATCATAAACCCCCAACCGTCCATTCTCATCCAAGCAGTAGAATAGGCCATCGCAGAATACTGGGCTTATCCATGCCATCCGGAACTGCACTTTGTCCCGGAAGAAATGAGACCTCCACTCCTTTGCTCCCGGGCGGCAAGTCATGACGATAATATATCCTTCTACGAAAGTCTTGACGCCGATGACTATGCAGGAGGGAGAAGTTGGTTCGGAAGAGAAAGCCACGATCCTAGCATCCAAGTAAGAAAAGGGGAGCTCTACTCTTTCACAACTGAAGGGATTAAATAAAGAGTTTTCACCGGAAGCAGAGTTGCATACTAGCAGCCAACCATGTTTCGAATAACGTATTGTTTTGGTTTTCAAGTACGGGATGCATCTTTCGTAAGAGTTGCCATCTGATGGGTCGAAGAAGGTGCATTTGCCAAGGGATATTCTCGAGAAGGACATGAGCAACGGAGATTGCAGGCGTCGGAGGGGAAGCGCGACGGACTGCCACCTCTTGCAAACAGCAGAGAAAAGGATATTTCCGTCAAGTGAGAATTGCGATACAATCCGCTCGAGAAGGTCTTTCGGTAGATCAGCCCAAGATCGAGTCATCTCTGCTCCTTGTTGTTCTTTTTCTTGAACGGACAATCTGCAAATTAAAACAAACTTTATCAGCCACGCAAGCTTTTTGCCTTCAATAAACGTGAAAAGTCGAAACTTACAAGCTAGAAGTAGCTACGTCCTCCATTGACAACCTTATACACAAACTAGGGCAAGGGTCTACACAAACCCAAGAAGGCAACTGTTTGTCACAAACAAGAGGAAGAAACGATAGAACTCTTTACGTCATTGTTTTGAAAAGAAAAAAAATATATAAAAAACAGAAAAAGAATAACAAAAAGAAAGTTAAAAAAAAATTAGACAATCTTCTTCATCGTTGTATTTTGTTGCCATCGGAAGTATGAACATTAAGGGGGAAGATGAAGAAAGAGAAAGTTTTGGAAAACTAGGAAGGATAACTTCTTATATATATGATACGTGTCTGAGAGAGTGGCATTCGATCCTTTTTTCAAGGAGGATAGATTAATGCCGGTATAAGGATTAGATGCCGTAACCATTTTAATCTCTATCTCGACGATTCTTTCGAGAAATCGATCTGAGTTGCAATATATTCTACTAATCCTCCTAACCTAACTAAGAATTAGGAGGAAAAGCGTAAACAGAAACAGGAAAACAAAAACTCTGGGAGTACAGCATCAAACCGCACATCGGGAATACCGACCGTACTAGAGATGTTCCCCATGTGTGCTCCCTATAGAGTTCGCATGGTTTTTTTTTTGTTTTCCGGAGATCCCGTCACGTTACGTACCAGTACCACACAGTATCCGACTTTCCGTAGTGATAGTCTTGTGGAAGCAAGATAGCTAGTTATCCCAACTTTAATTAATTGGTCGATGTGGCAAGAAATAGCTTACTAACCCTTTATTTTATTTTTTTGTTTTTTCTTTTGCTACTTATTTCTTTTTAACTTTTCTGGTTTTCAATTTTGCTGGTTCTCATGACTCCAACGATTCATCGAGGGGTTGACCATGGAACTATTTGATAACAACTCAAGTGGTTCCCTAAATTATAAGGTTTTTGCAGCTTTCGCAGTTTTACTTGCAATGCATGAAACTACTCTTTTCCCAATATTGGATGCAGAAAACATGAAGTTTTGGTGTTTGGCATAAGAAAATCCGATTTCTCATGAGATTCCTACCGATACAAGTCCTAGGGAGGGAGGGATGTATGCAGCCTTACGCACAGATTTTTAAGGCTATGTTTGGTTTGAAGGAAAATGTAGGGAAAGGAAGGGAATAGGTTTCCTCACCTTTTCTTTCATTTCCCTACTTTTTTCTTCAAATCAAACACAGCCTTAATGTTTCGGATTTGAGGACTGGCCCACTAACTGGGCGAGGGGGATAGATGTACACAGCCTTATCCTTGCATATATACAGATTTTTAGTCTTTCTGATTTTTAAGACAGGTGGTGTTTCTTTAGGTGAGACTTAGGGTTGTCAATGGATCAGGTTTGGGTTGGACCCTTCAAAACAAAACCAATTTCAATGGGTTAAACAGTCCAATAAAACATATTGAATTAAAACCGTTCAGATTTAATGGTCCAAAGTATTTATAGGATCGATTGGACAAATCCATCTGTAATGGGTTTATATTGGACTGGGTCAATTAAACCTATCAAACAGTGGGTCTCATATTCTATACATTGGGCACACGTGATTGAAAGGGAAGGTTATTGTATTTCTTCATCCATAAGGCTGTGATTGGTTGCAATGTAAACGCAAATATGTACATTGCAATTTACCATTTTTTCGATTCATGAATGCAAACATGATTCACATTTTAAATCGTTTTTGTACTCATCTTGTTTGTTTGAAATCAGTGTAAAATGTGGGTGCATTATTACATGCTCCAAGTATCTTATGCTCCAATGCCTTAACTTTAGTCAAAAAAGTTAATTATCAAAATAACACAAAATTGTATCTAAAAAATAAATGCATTAATGCTCTTTTCTCATGGTACAGAAGAGCCAAAAAAATATATTTTTAATACAAAAGTATCCGTGGGGACAAAAAATTTTCCATCCCAAACCAATAACAATCTGCCACGTCATTTACTTTGGCCTAATGCGTTTTGGATAGAAAATTTTCTGTACCCAAGGGATATGTGAATTCATTACTTTGGCCTAGTGCGTTTTAATTAACCACTATGATGTGTTTAAAATGGTAGATTTTAAAGTCCATGACACCTTTGATATGTCAAAATATATTAGATCAATGTTTATCTATCTATATGTTATATCAATGTCTTACCACAAAAAATAAAATATATTAGATCAATGTTTAATTGTTTATTGAATTTTTGGAAACAAAAAAAAAATGTTTATTGGATTTCTGAAGGTACGCTGTGTTCAAGAATTCCAAGATTTGACATATTCTTTGTTCCACATTTAAATTCAACCATTTATAGAACACTTCACAACTTAAAAAATAGGGTAAAATATAAAAGCTTCCCTCAAGTTTCTGACAATCATAAAACCTCTCTTTAGTTTTGCTTTAACAAAAATCTCCCTTTAAGTTTTTAAATTTCTCACGCGCAGAATTGAAAAACATTAGACCGATTAATCAAAATTTTCAAATACCCATTTTACTCTTTTATAAATTAGTTTACATATAAACGTTAGTTTAATCACTTTCGTTTCCTCTTCTGTCCCCGGTTTAGGGGTGTCAATTGGACTGGATTTTGTCCAATCCGGTTCAGTTCAATGTGAGCCTATTATAAATGGATCAGGTCCAATCCAATCTAATGAATGTTTTGGACTAATTTGGACCGATCCAATTTAATGTCTAGACTACTTAATCTATTCAAATTTATTTTGATTTAGATTAGTTTCAACCCAAACACAGTCCATTAATACATATATTCTTATCTTATATCAATGGATCAGATATTGGCTTAATCCCACTCAATCTAATATAAATGTTTTACCAACTGACCGGGTCCAATCCAATGTAATAAATATTTTGGATCAGATTGGTCCAATCCAATATATTTTGTTGGTCGGTCCAATCCGTCCAAATTGATTTTGGACTGGACAGGGTTCAATCCAAAGCCGGTCCATTGACACCCTTACCCCGGTTCGCTTTTTCACCTTCTTCTTTCTTCTCCCCTTCTCCCGTGTTCCTCCTTCCCCTCCTTTCTCTTTCAACCTCTTTCTTTTCTTCTTTCTCTTCCTTGCTCTTCTCCTCCTTCTCCGGCTCTTGCTTCATGATCGCTCCATGTTTCCTTGTTCTCTTGTACACCTACTCCAAATCGAACACGCCTTTCACCGTCGCTTGTGAGAGTTCTTTAGATCCGATTCGGCATCATGTACTCATGAAAATTTGGACACCTGTACTGTAAAATTTTTTATTTTGTTCCTTTTTATTGGAAAGTTTAGGCCATTCAAACGAAATTTATTAGAATTATCACTGTCAATTAATTCTACATTTATTTTTTAGGATTGCGAGGATCTAGTGAATTTATTTTTCTTTTCAAGCTAGGGGTGAAAAAAAGTGGTTTCGTATATAAGGGTAATTTTTGGAGTTTAATATCAATAAAAATAATATATTTAAAAAAAAATTAAAAAATAGGTTAACTTTTTAAAGATAATATCAATAAAGAGCAAAAACAGTGTTCATCTTCTTCTTGCCATTTATTCACTAGAGTCGCCATCTGCCGCTGCCTCCGGCAACGTTGTCGGAGGTGACCAGAGGCAAAGGTGTCGGCGGTGGCGCTGGTGGTTTCTCTGTCCAATGCCGCCCACCTCCGCCTCCACCTCCAGCAACGTTGTTAGAGATGGGTGGAGACAGAGGTGGCGGCGGCGGCGGGCAGAGGAATGATCATCAATGCCGTCGTTGCCACCTCTGCCTTCGGACACCTCCGACAACGTTGCCGGAAAAGGAGGCAGCAACGGGCGATAGTGGATAGTGGCGGGCGACAGCTCTAGTGAACAAATGGCAAGAAGAAGAAGATGAACAATATTTTTGCCCTTTATTAATATTATTTTTAAAAAGTTAACCTACTTTTGAAATTTTTTTAAATATATTACTTTTATTGATATTAAACCCCAAAAATTACCCTTCTTTGCTATAACCCTTTTCTTTAACCGAAAAGAATAACTTCAAAAATTATAAAGGATTATGATTGTTAAAGACAACTTTTTGATCTTATTATCAATAGAAATACTTTTTAATATAAATTTTAGAATAGGATAGTTTTTAAAAAAAATATATCAAAATAAGTTAGAAATACTCCTTTCTCCTTCAGACCATCGAAAAAATCTCCCCACCGGTCTCTTTCTCTTTCTGAACTCCCTCAGCTCTTTCTTATCCATCACCATCGTCCCCTCCTCTTCTCTGTCCTTCAATACCAAGCTTCCCATCTCTTTGTGCTCTCTGATCACATCTCTCAACAAATAATGCCTCGCCGAAGCCGCAATCAGAGCGACACTACTCTCAACTTCAGTCTTCCCTCTCCGTCTTCACTGTTGAAGTCCATGTCATCCCCGTCTCCTCCATTGCCTCCCTCATCGTCAGTCGCTTTTCCGATGGTCCGGACCGCAAAAATTACGCAGCTCTTCAATGTTTTCCCGAACTCCGCCCTCCATCTCACAACCGCATCCTTCTCTAAACGGAGATCCCCAGCGGGAAGTTCGATCTCAAGCCGTCTGATACTCTCGAATCCGCGAAGGTTTTCAGTGGGAGAGTTTCTGTTTTGGGCTGGATTGGAAGTCGTATCAGGGATATCAAGTCTTGCAAGGATTGGAGTATAGACCTGAGGAGGTGTAGTAGGAAGCTCCACTCACCAGTTTCGTTGGAGATGACGCGATCAACCTTCACCACTAGGTTGTCGGCCTGCGGTACGAGGGAGTTGAAGATGAGAAGATGAACAGTGTTGTTTGTGGAATACTTTGCATACTGCTACAAGCCTACAACTTTGTGGAATATTCTTTCAAATGATACTTTTTTTGCCTATAAATTTGGCTATCCTAGCACCATGTACAATTGCCAAAATAAAGAGAAAAAGGCTTGAGTGAGGGAAAGAAGGCAATTAGAGAGTTACGGCATCCTCTTCTCCAATCCTCCTTAAAATTCTTGCGATACTATTGTTAGCTACTCTGGGTGTTTCACAAGAACAATCACTCTTTTGAACAGGAAATTGAGCGGTGGGGAGATTGATGTCGGTTTCTGAGGTCAGAAGATGATAGAGCTGAAATTGAGCGGATTAGTTTGTGTGGTGGAGTGGGATTAGTTGTTAGTCTTATAATTTTAAAAACAGGAAAGATGGTGGGACGTAAACTTTACAACTGAGATAAGCGGAACGTGATTTCAGAGCTTGCAACGCTGGTTTGAGAATGGACTGTTCTTCTAACCGTTTCAGAAGAAGAATTCATAGCAGCTGTTCTCCAAACTCAGATGCAGAGAAGACGAAGAGGAGGAGGAGGAGGAAAGAGAGATAGAAATCCTAGGTGGAGAGATTTGTTTGGTGGTCTGAAAGCAGAAGGAGAT